TGGTACATTTTTCGAAGGACACCATAATAAATCACCAGGAAATCGAATCCAGAACCTTTATGTTGGTCTGAATAAACCACCATCCTATTATTAACGCTTTTCATATTTTTCAATATCTCATAACTCATTACTTATACAAAATTCTGTGAATAAATACTTTTGTCAATCTTATTGTAATAATTACAGCTTATGGGATTTTAGTTTCGAGTATGTTGAAATATCTATCTATCTATCTATCTATCTATCTATCTATCTATCTATCTATCTATCTATCTATCTATCTATCTATCTATCTATCTATCTATCTATCTATCTATCTATCTATCTATCTATCTATCTATCTATCTATCTATCTATCTATCTATCTATCTATCTATCTATCTATCTATCTATCTATCTATCTATCTATCTATCTATCTATCTATCTATCTATCTATCTATCTATCTATCTATCTATCTATCTATCTATCTATCTATCTATCTATCTATCTATCTATCTATCTATCTATCTATCTATCTATCTATCTATCTATCTATCTATCTATCTATCTATCTATCTATCTATCTATCTATCTATCTATCTATCTATCTATCTATCTATCTATCTATCTATCTATCTATCTATCTATCTATCTATCTATCTATCTATCTATCTATCTATCTATCTATCTATCTATCTATCTATCTATCTATCTATCTATCAGATATTTGTTATTGTATACACGCTTCTAAAACAAAATTTTAAATAAAATTATTTACATATACATATAGAAATGGAAAATATATTTTTTTTGTTTCTTGTTAACATAGAAAAATGTAATTATATTCTACTGTAAATTTGTTCACCATTTTCAAAATTGTTTTCCAGAGGTCCTAACTACATTCGTAATCCATATTATTATTATTATTATTATTATTACTGTTAGAAAAAATATTCATTTTTGTAAAGAAGGTAAATAAGCAAACAAGAAAAATGATTTTTTTATTTTATTATTTATTTGTTGCTTCTATTAAGAAATAAACAAAACAAAAATAAAGAAACAAACTAGTAAACAAACAGACATCAAATGACCAGTATGATGAAAAATATTCAGTAATTTAAATAATCAAGTCAAATGAAAATGGCAAAATAGAGAATAATTGTCTTCTTATGTGTGTTAAAATAAACAGATATTGATTTACTGCCACAGATATAATAATAATTATTATTATCAGTATGGAGGTTGTGGAGATTGTTAAGTTTTCGGTTGAGATCATGAATTAATTGATGTTAGACCACCGTTGGAAACCTGGAAGCACTGGACGGCCGTTTCGTCCTAGTATGGGACTCCTCAGCAGTGCGCATCCACGATCGCGCACCCCGCACCCTGGGTTCGAATCCCGTGGGGTGCGGAATCGTGGATGCGCACTGCTGAGGAGTCTCATACTACGACGAAACGGCCGTCCAGTGCTTCCAGGTTTCCAGCGGTGGTCTAACGTCAATTAATTCATGATCTCAACCAAAAAATTATTATTATCCCGATGTTGAGAAAGTAGAGTGAAAATTTTATAGGCTTGTGGGTCATATTTAACTGTGAGTGTAAACAATTTTAATGGTAAATACTCAGCTTTAAATCATACTTGTTAATTCTTCTGTCTTTGATGTAAAATCATAGCAGCTAGCCACTAACGCATGAGTGGTAAAAATGTTGTCATCCAGTTAGAAAAATGTTATCGGTAAGTCAAAAACTGGCACGCTATCGTATTATATTTGACCTTTGTGAAATATTTTGGGAGTTTACATTGGTTATACAATCGTTTATTATATTATTGAAATCTTGAACCAATCTGAGTTAGATAACCATTGAAAATCTGTATGTAAGGAATGGCCATTTTCTCCTAATATGGGACTACTCAGTATTCACAATTGATTGATCGCTGGGTGGCGACCAATGTTATGCGTGTCTAGTCCTTATTAGTGCCAAGTAGCACGAAACCCGGGTCCAGGGTTTCCTGTCGACTACCTCCAACCACCATATAGTCCTCAGTATTGCATATCTACGATCCTGAATGCGGAAATTGAATCTTCTGTTTTGGATTTGAGCCTTATCGAGTGTGAGGCAGTTATTCAGCAAAGACAATGAAAGATAATCGAACAGTGTAGTGAATTGATTGAAATTAGACTAACACCGTTGGATGCCGGCTCAGTTGTTTATGAGTTGTTCATGCGTAAGGCCGAAGGTGCTGAGTTAGATTCTCGAGTACGGGGTCGTGTCTGTATACCCACGAGAAGCTCTACACTGGGACAAAACGGCCGTTCGGTGTCTCTGGGCTTTCAATAGTGCTTTAATTCAAATCGGTTCGTAATTTCAATGAATTTCAACAATATCCACAACCCTATACTTACATTTATAATACATTTAGTTAGTCTTTCAAACTATAAGAACGCACTACCAATTACAACGGATGATATGTAAGTACTAAAGCATACTTATATACCAAAGTCTATGAATATATTCTTTTGTAGAATGTTTAAATTATGGCTCACCGCCTATTTGATTTATGAAATCTAGGTAGGAAACTTTTTCCACTTATGATGATATTTTAGTTTCTCTCCGCCATTTAATCAATTACAAATAGACAAGGAAGTTTAATATATTTATATCTAACGTGATTTTACAGCATTCGAATTAAAACGGCTTGTTGTGAGTCAGTTCGAAGGAACTTAATTTGCTTTTAAATTATTTCATTTTCATACGGTTCAAATGCCGTGAATCTTATAAAAAATTTAAGAACTTGAAATGTATTAGTGCGGCTAAATAATCGAATAGAAGAACTCACATACATCCAGGATTACTAAAAATTGATGAATGTAATCTGTCGATAATGTAATAGAAAATGAATGAATAATTAAGAATAATGAAAAATCTGATCAAACGTAACTATTCGAAGTAAATTTTATTTATTAGCAAGACTAACGTTTCTTTATTGTTACAATTTAGACATTTTGGCATTTTCAATATTCTTGTTTTACATTAGTGAATGTCAAGAATGTAATCGAGAGGGAGAGAGGGACAATAAAATCATCACTGTGATATAAAGCATACTGATTGGAATGTTGTATATGTAGGCAAGACAACCGGAAAATTGGATTTGAGAGTGAGAGGATGAAAATGAAATTCGAAACAATACTTTATTCTGTTTAATAAATTTTTGATCAGAATAGGGGTTTATGGATATTGCAGTAATTTTAAAAATTAAATTCATGAATCGATGTAAGCTGAACCACCATTGAAAACCTGGAAGCACTGGACGACCTTTTTGTCTTAGTATGGGAATCTTAAGAGGGGCGCATCCACTATTCCGCACGTGGGACACAAACTCAGGAACTTCGGTCCTGTTCGCGGATGCTTAATCTGTAGATCACTGAGCTGAACGGAATCTAGTGGTGTTAATATCTAACTTCAGTCGATCCATGACCTTGCGTAACCATTCATTTATTGTCTGAGGTAGATAACTGTCTCTACACGACACGGATTGTAATCCATTGATTATGGCTTCTTACTATAAATCCAGGAAATTTAGTCATTAGTAAAAGTCCCACATGCGGAATCGTGGATGCTCACCGATGAAGGTTCCCGTACTAAGAGGAAACGGCCATCCAGTGCTTCCAGGTTTACATCGATTCATGAATTCGATTATTTTTATGTCCTACAATTAGATATCCATACTAATAATCTAAAAATATGACCAAGTTTGAAGCAAATACATCGTTTAAAATTACAGAATGCCAACTTCAGATTGTTTTTAAAATAAAACTGTTAATAAGCGAAGATGGATAGTGGTTCTCAGTGGAATCCAGGACGCACATCTTGTCCTATTTGGCAGCCGTCACCTGGATGTACCTGCATTTCAGAGTTGATGTTTATTTCGGGATTCCAACCCATTACTGTTGGCTTCAAACGCCATCGCGTTACCCACCTAACCACTGAATCCTGATATCCACTTGCTTGTGCAATGAAGTGAAGTTTAAATTCACTTGGTTTTTCCCATTGATATCTAGGACTGCAATTGATCAGTCACTTATTGGCATATGTGCATACTGTGCTCAATGCCTCGATATAGCCTTAATTCACAAGAATTATTTGGTAAAAATACCTAAATTAACTAGATAATAGAAAAGAGTTTACTTAGATTCAATCAGTATGTACTATTCCATGTGTGAATCATAAAATGCCTACAAAAATCTAAAGATTATGATTTGTAGCTTAGGTTCGTTAGTCACCATGTTCAACTCTACAGAGGAGAAGTAGAACATTATAAATATATATGCATATCAAAAAACTAATTTTAATTTCATATAAACAAATATATTACTTATAACTTCCAGCATGCTATAACTTTGTTTAGATTGATTAATCTCTTTTTGTCATGAAATTATATTCTACTAATATTCCTTAAAATAAAACATAAACAGTTCTGTTAGAAGATAACCGTTAACTACATCAATTTATTTTATTCAAAATGAAAAGAGATGAATATAGGCGACATTTTGAATAAATGAGGATACAATAACATTTAAAACTGTTCACTCGTAAGCATTTACTTCCCTGTCATAATCTATCTAGTTTGAATTGAATAATGTGAATATGTTGATCTCTTAACTATAGAAAAATGTTATACAGCTTATCGAATTATTCAATTATGTGATATTCATGAATAACAATATATAAATTTATATTAACCTGACTACTTATTCTCATTATAGAAAAGATACTTATCAAATACTTTTATCAAGATTTCACTTTTTTTTTCTTTTGACTTGGGAAATTCTTTCAAATACTAATTACAAAATGTATTATGGTAACTGGATTCTTGATAAGGTTACATAGTCTATTTTGATTGGTTAATAAATGAACCAATAAGATGACTCGAAAAAGTTATGATTATATTATCTATTTTTTATCGTTAACATTTAATGCCTTATTCATATTTACTGATTATTTACAAATGTATTAGTAGTAAATTTCAATTAGATCAAAACATACATATACATATATATAGATCTATAACACAAGATCATGCTTGATGGAACTTTATGGATAGAATACAATAGTACATGTAGTGGAAATATAAGTACTACTGGTATTATAAAGCTGGAATATTCTTTACCAATATTAATACTTAGCATAATTGCTTTAATATTAAATGGATTATGTATTTCAATATTTTCAAGACAACACAGAAAATCAGTTATGAGAACAAGTTTACTTGTTTTATCAGCTACTGAAGTACTGTTTCATTTTTTTGTTTGTATAGAGTATACTACACAACTTATATGTTCATCAAATCCACGAATGATAAGTCCTACAGAATTTATATTATTTGCTCTTATTAATTGGGGTTCTGATTGTTCTTTATGCACACGTAATTGGTGTAATGTATTAATTACATCAGCTCGTACAGAGGTAGTTGTTTATCCAATGCGTAAACGACGTATACTTTCACATTCTTCAATAAAATTTATTTATGGATTTTTATGGATTCTATCTGGATTTCTTGCTATTGTACGTGCATTTTATGATTATGCAATTGTCTGTAATTCATCAAATAATCAAATGAATAATCTAATTATACAATCAAGTGAAACATCACTATTAGATACAAATAAATTAGATTTATCCAATGATTTTAATCAAAAAACAAATCCTATAACATATATTGATGCTTTATTAGCTCAATATATCATTATTAATTATGAAGCATATTGTTTTTTCATATTTCAAGTGATTGCACCAACATTAATTGTTTTAATCATGTCATTTATTATATCATTTTATGTTTCACCATGGCGTGATACTAAAATTATTGAAGTAACCAATGTACGTCGAAGACATCAAATGAAAGCTACAAGAACTATATTATTTTTAGCTATTTCATTTCTGTGCTTTCAAACACCTAGTTTTATTTTAGTTATTGTACAACATTATACTAATTTAAAAATTGAATTTCAATTAGCTAAATTAGTTGCTGATTTATTATTAACATTTGATTCTATTATTAATATAATGATTTATGCAATCGGTTTACCAAGTTTTCGGGATTATTTAAATCGAATGTTTATTTGTTTATGTCCTTGGAATAATATTATTAATAATAATAATATTAATATTGGTAACAATAATAACAATAGTAATCGTATTCTGTTAAATTCAGTTGCTATGCCCCAATCCGAATTTCATCCAATCTCATATCATAATAATAATTCAAAAATTACACAATTAAAAGCAACACATTCATTTAATTGGAATAATTATCGTCATGGTATTTATGGTTCACATAGAGATAATTCTTTTCAACATAAAGATAATCATTCACATTGTCATTATCGTTCATTACATGATAAGAAACAATGTCAATATACCAATAATAATAATAATAATAATAATAATAATAATAATAATAATACTATAGATTCCATTGAAAATTCACAATGTAAAAATATAAATGAAGATTCATTGAGTATTAGAGAAAGAGAAATATGTGATGATATGTAACTAATGAAAAATCATTAAAAAAAACAGAAGTTAAGATTCTTATTTAGGAATATATTCATATATTATTATTATTGGGTTTGTAAACGAATGTATATTTATTACTATAATTCATAGAATAATTAATCATACTTATGTAAATGTTACCGGCATTTGGTTTATGATCATTATTATGTTTTATTTTAAATTCATGAAGAAGAATATAAAACAAAAAAATTCTAGATTAATAGTTTGTTTTATATATTCAAATGATAGAATAACCCCATTTAGTATAAGAGAAACTTATTGAAATCAATGAGTTCTATGACATTAGAACTGGTTGAAGTAGACTAAGTCATATTGAGATCAATGAACTTGCATCTCATATAACTACTTATCAATTTAATGATGATTAAAGAACTGAGAACTATGCGGAACTAGTAAATCAATCATTTCTTCATACATTTATTTGGATGCGCACTGCTGAGGAGCCCAACGATAGGACGAAACGGTCATCCAGTGCTTCCAGGTTTTTCATTGTGGTTTAGCTTCAACTGACTCATGATCTTAACCATTGAAATTATTATAATATCCACAAAACCCATCTGATATTAAAATAATTTATAATCAATTTTCAATCTCACTTTTGACTCATTCTGAAAATTGATTTTTATCGGCTTGGATTATACTGGACATATGTTTTGATGGCTTGCTAGGTAGTGAATCGATTGAAGACTGGGGAGGGTTAACAGTGATGTTCGTAGTTGTTTTCTGTGTTTTGGTTTCAAGCTATCCTATTTTATAACTGTATTGTGTTTACTTAATTATTCAATAAGAAAAATGGATGTGCAACCAACCTGTCAATAAATGTGTGGATAACAAGGCTATCAAGTATATTAAGTCAAGTAATGTGGTCAAAAAAATGCTCTAAGGGGCGTCACTTTTTTTTACACAATTACATCCACAGTAGTTTATAACTTTCATCAGTATTCTTTGTGGAATGTTTACGTGTTAAGTAGCGGCTGTAATATAGTTTCTTCTACTAGTAATATATGATAATCACAATTTTTTTATAGAAACATGATTAAAATGTTTGAATTAGGGAAATATAAGAAGTGTACATCACATATGTATGTGCAGTAAACCTCGGATAAATGTGTCTCACTATTTCTGTATGTGAGCATTTGGTAAATGTATCTGTTTCATTTTGTTTTTAAAAAAATATTGCTGAAATGCTTTATTTACACAGAAATTTAGATTCACTGTGGGTAATGATAACATTTATCATATAATGCTGAACACCGAAAACCTTTCATCTTTATTACAGTTAAGTGATCGAAGGAAACTATTTATTGAATCCCAATATCATGAAAATAATGTGAAATAGATAAATACTAACCCACTCTATTTTATAATATACTGCACTTTCTATACACTAATAACAGTAATGTAAGAGAATAATATCATTTTTGAAGTATGGAAGATTGGCGCCAAACATAGATTAAGTCCAATTAAAACAAGAACCATTATTTCAATTATCATTTGTGACATTTATGCCCAAATTGTTCTGTGCTTTTTCGTATATATTGCTAATATAGCTGCTTCATTTAATACAAAACATATCTGACTACTTTGATAGAAGATTTTATTTTACATTTTATATTGATATAGATCCTATCACTTCATCGAAAAATAACTAATTGCTATATTACTAGTATAGGGGTTGTGGAGATTATTAAGTTTTTGATTGAGATCTTGAACCAATTGATGTTAGACCATCACAATTGAAAACCTGGAAGCACTGGACGGCCGTTTCGTCCTATCGTGGGACTCCTCAGCAGTGCGCATCCACGATCCCGCGAGCGGGATTCGAACCCAGGGCCTTCGGTCTCGCGCGCGAACGCTTAACCAACTGGACCACTGAGCCGGCATCCAATGGTGATAGTGTCTAACATCAACCAATCCACGAAATTGCGCAACCAACTTCCATTGTACTTAAGTAGATAACTGTCTCTACCCGACAAGGATTAGCTCCACTGGTCACGGCTTCTCACTAGAACTCCGAGAATTCCCTCACGAAGCTAGTCACTAGTGAGCACATGTTGATTACTAGTATAGGGGTTGTGGAGATTATTAAGTTTTTGATTGAGATCTTGAATCAATTGATGTTAGACCATCACAATTGAAAACCTGGAATCCCGCTCGCGGGATCGTGGATGCGCACTGCTGAGGAGTCCCACAATAGGACGAAACGGCCGTCCAGTGCTTCCAGGTTTTCAATTGTGATGGTCTAACATCAATTGGTTCAAGATCTCAATCAAAAACTTAATTGCTATATATTGTCTCAATCCTGTCAAAGTTTACTCAATATCCCTAACTTGTACGAGTGTTTATCACAGTTTATAAAGCTTTAGAATATCGCTTTATAACAACTCATTCTATGAATAGTTATGCGGTGAAACCATTTCTAGTAATTTCGTCGATGTATAACTCATATATATACCAATCACAATTGACAGAGACGATTTGGAAGATGTAAAAACCTTTACATAACTGGGCAGCATCATTGGTGAACACGGTGGATCTGATGCAAATGTGAAGGCGCGTATCGGCAAAGCAAGACCAGCATATTTACAACTTAGAAACATCTGGAACTCAAAACAACTGCCAACTAACACCAATGTTAGGATTTTCAATACAAATGTCAAAACAGTTCTACTGTATGAGGCAGAAACCTGAGGAATCACGAAAGCCATCATCCAGAAAATATAGGTCTTTATTAACAGTTGTCTACGCAAAATACTTCGGATCCGTTGGCCGGACGCTATTAGCAACAACGTACCTTGGGAGAGAACAAACCAGATCCCAGCGGAGGAAGAAATCAGGAAGAAGCGCTGGAAGTGGATAGAACACATATTGAGGAAAACACCCAAATGCGTGACAAGACAAGCCCTCACATGGAATCCTTAAGGCCAAAGGAGAAGAGGAAGACCAAAGAACACATTGCGTCGAGAAATGGAAATAGATATGAGAAAAATGAACAAGAATTGGATGGAACTAGAAAAGAAGGCCCAGGAAAGAGTGGATTGGAGAATGGTGATCTGCGGCCTATACTCCATTAGGAGTAACACGCGTAAGTAAGTAATATATATATATATATATATATGGAAGGGCGATTACAGTAGCGTTAGGTAAACAAATTGTTACTTTTTATGATTGAAAGAAGTCTTTTAAACGTGAAAAACCAATCCGTCCTGTAGTATAATCACTGTAACACTATTCTGACAATGTTAAAACTAGCATGATACAATAGGATAATGTTAATCGATAAATGTAAGTATTGAAAATCGAAATTGTACAATGTTGGTGCCAAAGAAAAATATGATTAGTATGTATCCAAATGATGACAAAATGAGCTTGATGACTTATTCGGTAATATATAATGCTGATTTGAATTTGTAACCTTCTCAGTAATTATAATATAAAAGGAAATTCAAAATACAGTAAGGAAAAAAAGAAAAAGAAAACAATCAAATTAATGACTGTTTTTATGTGATGATTCATGATACTGAGAAATGCTGTTGAATATACCGTAGGATGAAACATAATTTTATCAAATGTAAACATGCGTAATTATTTATTTAACTATTAATTATAACATGCGAAAATATTGTTGCCATAGTGATAATTTTATGATTATATACAGTAGAATGGCTTGACAATAAACGTTTTTTTAAAAAAATAAGTCAAGAATGACTAGATTTACAGAATACAGTGAATCTATTGTATTTCTTTGACTCTTCTTAATATATATATATATATATATATATATATATATATATATATATATATATATATATATATATATATATAACTATTACCAACTGTTAACATAACGTTAGAAACGAATTGTCAATCTATAATGAATAAGTTTTGTATAATGTGAAAGAAAGGATGAATTAAAGTACTGAAAGGGGGATTCTTTTTATAATCACTTACAAAATACCACAGATTGAAATTATGAATCAATTGAAGCTAGACCATCTTGGAAAACCTGGAAGCACTGGACGGCCGTTCCGTCCTAGTATGGGACTCCGCAGCAGTGCGCATTCACGATCCCGCCCTCTACGAGATACGAACCCAGGACCTATCAGTTTCACGCCAGGCGCTTAACCAACTAGACCACTGAGCCGGCATCCAACGGTGTTTATGTCTAACTTCAACCAGTTCACGAAGTTGCACCACCGTACACCATTGTCTTCAGTGAGCTGATGTCTCACAACAGATCTGGTTGAACTACACTTACAAAATAATTTTAAAATGTCAAAATCATTTTATTACGTAATATAACATTATTTCAGGAGTAAAAGTGGACCTGTGACTTTAGCTCACTAAATTTGTGATTAAAATCGGTTAGAAGAAGAAGTTAGAGTATTTTAAGGGATGTTGAAGATTGACTATTAATTGTTTTTGAATCAACAGGTCAGATTAAAACTTTTTAATTGATATGACTTCTGTGAATCCTAATAATATAGGAAAGAAGTGTTTAATAATAACTCTGAACTAATTCATTAAATCCTCATTATGTGAAGTGTATAGTAAGTGGCGTGGTGCTGAATTACATAAGCAGATTTCTCTTCGTATATGTAAGCTTTTTGGTATATGTTCATTTACAACAAGTAGAAGACCAACTTTATTTCTTTTTAATATACATGTTTGGTTGTATATGGTGATTGATAAATTCAACTGGACGTGAAGTATGACCAATATTTATTTAATTTAGCTTGTATTATTCAGCGTTATATGGTGTATAGTGGAATCAACTTCCAAGAAAAAATGTGCTTTTTAAACTTTCTTTCAGTCATCAATTACTTTTATTCATTACTTGATCGCCTTTGAATGACAATCGAATAAAAACATTTTGTATTTGCTCATCCTATTTCGGTAAAATACGTCTCTAAAATTGATTAAAGGTATTCATTTTCCTGCAATAATTATTCTGCACAGTATATTCCTTCTCGAGG